AAAAAAAAACTGTCACAAGTGTTGTATTATGACAAATTAATCTGATCGTAAGCCCACATATATTATTTAGTGCCAACAACTGAAAATCAAGAAAAATATATTATTAGTTATTGGTATTTTAATTAAAATCATCAAACCATCAAATCATTCTTTTAAGAAGAATAATAAGTAGTTTTCTTTTCATAATGTTTGTGGTGGCAGTGCACAAAGTAAGGTTTTTGACAATTTTAATGCAAAATTACATAATGATAAACAGCATTGTGATACCAGTATGTACTAGTACATCAGCCATTAACAAAATAACTGACAAATGATATTATGAATATCTTTTAAACAATTTTTTTCTTTTTACTCTTTTACAGATTGAAATGGATTCGATGAGCCTACCAGCTGCATTTTTGTTCTGCTTGGAAGTATATCATTTCATAATCCATATGTCAATCATATTTCGCATGCGTTTGTTACCACGCAAAGATATTGTGCGACAGCGTTGCTATTTCCTTGTTGAAGCTATGACAGTGTTTACGATAAACGTCTTGTTTATTGGAAAACTTAAGTGGTTAGCAGCAATTCATAACATTCTGCATGGGTACTATGTCCTAACCTGGGATTCCTCTTCCCTTTGCAAGAAGGTACTTTTGTATCCATTTATTTACTTATTGGATTTTTTTAAAGATGACTGAAATGAAATTATATTTCAGAAATTTTTCTTTCAATAGAATTTTTGTTATCCAGAAATGACATGGGTATAAAATGAATTTTCTTTAGTTTAGAAACTACATATTTGATATTGGTTCCTTGCATGAAACACAATGACAAAAAATAAAATAAAAATAAAATAAACAAATAAATAAATTATAAATAATAATAATAATAATCACACCAATGGTAACTCAAAATTCAAATTTCTATTTTCCAAATATGAAGTTTTAGCCTTTTGTCATGTCATTTGCCTTGACTATACTACAGTACTTACTGGTAGTGATTGCGTAAAGTAAATATGTTTAGTTTGACCAATACAAATTACAATTATGTGATTTTGACCAAATCTATGTTATCATTTTAGCTGATAAGCTGGAGCTCTCTTGATTGGCAACGCAGTCATCACAAAAAACGCTGGGAATTGTTGGAAGTGTTTGGCACCACATATGACGTGCTTGTCCACACCATCAACTGCTACCTACTGGGCCAGTACCTCACCACAGTGGAAGTGATCATATCCCTGTTTATAACACATTGCCTGGTCTATTTTATTCTGCACAACCCGCTGTACGCCTGGAGTAACCCTGTCTCAACACCAGACTGGGTGGAGAAAAGAATTTTCCCAATCGGAGAAAATTATGAAAGTTGTGTCTTGAGTGGAGGTGATGCTAAGAAGGAGAAGTAATGAAGGTGATCTTAGGTGATGAGTTTTACCAGGCCATCAGCTGTATTTTGTTTCAAATTCTTCAATCCTGGTGATGAAATTGAGTGCCAAAGTTCTTTTATAGACAAAAAAAAAAGAAAAAATAAATAAAAATAAATAAATAAATAAAATAAAATAAAATAAATAAGTAAATAAATAAAATAATAAAAAAATAAAAATATAATAATAATAATAATAAATAAATAAATAAATAAACTTTGGAGTGTATTTTTGTTTAGATTTCATTTTTTTTATGTTGCTGACAAAACAACCACAATTGATCTTCATTAAGGCAAAAGCTTTATAGAGATCAGTTGTATTTCTTTGTTTCAAAGAAGAAAACTATTTCTAATTTGAATGGAACAAATTCTTTCTAAATGACAGGATACAAGTCTTTATTTGAAGAAAAATGCAGACCCCAAGTTAAAAGCAATATTTGAAAGATCCAGTTGTTTTCTATTTGTCACACATACATGTAAACTGGTGGTCAAATATGTTTCTTTCTAAGCTATATTATTTTACCCTTTAAAACATTTCATACATGTCTTTAACTGTGTTGATGAATAATAGTTACACAGTTCTTTCATAAACCCTTTTTTCTCTTAATGTTTACCTGATTGGCATTGTAATGATTATAAATATTCCATGAATTAGGTAACAAGTTATTCATTTGATTCAACATGATGCCAGTTATGTATACTTAATTTAGGAAGTGGTCAGGTCTGAGAAACAGTAAGACTGGGTTCATACAGATTTAGATCGATCTATCTTGATGACCTAACTCCCTGGGGGTTCAAGCTAAATTGCTGTCAGCCGAGCATGTACGAATGTTAATTACCTCCTTACAACTTTTAGTAGGCGGGACAGACATTTAAGCCAGCTAATCTGACAGCAATCTAGTGAGACTCCCCACGGGATAGATTGATCTAAAATCTGTGGGAATGCAGTCTAACTGTATTATAAAACCAGACTGTATTTGGTGAAAAAGACAGAGATACATCATAAATACAGGCAGAATTATATCATCTATTTAGAAATGTAGTGTTTTGGCTTTAATTACTGTACATGTGTATTTTTTTTTGTCTTTTAGATCCAGTTTTACCGGGTGGTACCTGGTTGTACTCTTTCTCCCCTGGACACCCTTAAGTTTACAAGAAGGCTGAAAAAAAAAAACTTGTATCAGTATCAGGGGCGGATCCAGAGATATTTTCTGCCAGTCTTCCATATTATATTTGTTGATCCATCCTCCATTTTTTGACCGTCTTCCGACAGAAAAATTAGATACCCGTCAATGTAAACTTGAAAATCTGACCTAAATCCGCCCCTGAGTATGTAATATCTTTTGGCAGCACTGTACCTCATGGACAGCACAGGAGGTGGGGGTGGGGGTGTTTTCAGCTTCTCTATCTTTATGTATGCCATATCAATGCAGACGTGTATGTTGTATGATTTTTTGTATGTACAAAGTTTGAAATCAGATCTTACGACACAAAAGTTAATTTTTTTCAGATACAGCACTTAAAATGTGTACTTTGCTATATGTAATAATATATTAAGTCTGTATTACTGTTATCATATGGCTGCTTTTTGGAAAGGATGTCTTGCTTAACTGTGTTTCTGATAAGACATTACTGTAGTGTTTCTTGGATATATAGTCACACAGTTGGGTATTGTGGCGTAGTATATCTGAATACTATCCCTATAATTAGTCTTTTATATATATGGTGATATGATCAACAAAATGCAAACTCAACTGGCGCTCATTTCGAAATAAAATGTTTGCCAATTTGTCATAATGTCTAGAGCTTTTGTTGTCTGCAAACTTCTTTTAATAAAATCTAGGACAAATGGGTCAAACACAGCACATGCAGTATGCTGGTAGACAGTAAGGGTGCTTTCCCAGATATTTAGATCGATCTAAAGATTAAGATTTAGATCGACCTAACTCCCTGGGGGTTCACGCTAAATTGCAGTCAGCGGAGCAGGCACCATAGTTAATTACCCCCTTACAGCTTTTAGTAGGCGGGACAGACGCTTAAGCCAAGCTGACAGTAATCTAGTGAGACTCCCCACAGGGATAGATCGATCTAAAAATCTATGGAAATGGGGTGTAAGTGAGAGCCTGACCCCAAAATTGAATTTCTATCTGAGCTGACTCAGCCCAGTGGGATTGGATAACCATGCAATTTTTCCACACTTTAATTTCGTTTTCATAGCAATTTATGTATGAGGTTAAAGTTCAAGAAAAAGCAATATCATACATGTATGACAGAAAAAATACTTGTACTTATAACGTACGCTTGGTCATAAAAATAAAGTTTGAATCTAATTCACTTTTTTCAAAAACGATTCTGGCAACCAGAAATTAGTGTCGATTTTCAGATTCGATCCGATACAGTGCGCAGGTGTGTCCCTGAGTGTCTCGCCTTGTTGAATGGTTGACTAACTTTGCTTTTATTCAATAAAAATAAACAATTCTGGCAACCAGAAACTACTGTCCTTTTTCAAAAATGATTCTAGCAGCCAGAAACTACTGTCATTTTTCAGATTCGATTCTGACGCTGAGAAATCATTATCGTTTTTGCAGTGGGAGACAAAAGAGGATGGAGGCAGAGGCGACTGGTGATTTGTGTCTATGTTCAGAATCTCATATTGGAGCAAATTGGACATTTAAAATTGTTCTATTGATATTTTCCCATCTCAAAACTTTTGTATATGTTAAAGGAATAAAATAAATAAATAGACTAAAATGAGAATGAAAGCCTAGTCAGAGTTCTGTTTCCTTATCTGAGGTTTTCATAATGAAACATATCAGTGCATGCATGTTTTTTTTTTTTTTTGGTCGATTTTGATGGTTTATGTTTTCACTTTCCAACCATTCAATTCTATTCAAATAATGAGTTTATTCATTTTATCATTACATTTTTACATTTTGGTAGACCGGTGTAGTATGTTATGGTCTGACAGACATCTAAGCTGCTTCAGTTGATTGCAATTAAGCCAGAATCCCCTTGGAGATAGATCAATCCACAGTTAGTACAATAGGGTCTGAGCATGGTCCCATACAATACTACAGTTTTGTATGCTATTTTAGAGTCCCCCGATTTCAGAGGGTACAAATGTTACCGCAGACATTCAGGTAATGCAACTAGCACAATACTGCAGCTCCATGGAGGTTTTAAGTCACCCGTTGAAAATGCCAATAAGTCACAAATGAAAACAACTTGGAAGTAAAGAAGAATCACACTGTTCCAGTGTGTCTAGTATGAGCTGTAGTGATAATTTCCCTTCATTTTAATCACAACTTTAATAATTTTAATAACATTTTAAAATCAAAATGTACACTTTGAGATTTATAACAGTTCATAGTATAACATTCACAAAGACTGGGCTCCCATACTGTGACCTATCTGACAGGCACCACCCATCTCCAAGGGGTTTCTCCCTATATTGCTTTTAGCTTAAGTGGCTCAGATGACTGGTAGGCCTACTGAAGCTGCTAAACTATAGTTAATTCCCCCCTAACAGCTTCAGTAGCCAGACATTAGAGCAGCTTAAGCTGAAAGCAATTAGCAAGAATCCCCTCAAAGATAGATCGCTCCACAGTTAATACGATAGGGTCTGGGAATGGTCTCTAAATACTGTACAGTTCAAAGCTGTCTCGCTCTCTTTAATCTTGGGGCATCATAGTCTTTGTCAGGATACTCAGTCGGTTGAACAACCCCAGCTCGCAGATCATCCAGGATTTTCCTGACACTGTCTCGTTGTAATGTAATTGGTAAAAACGGATTCCTGTACCATGGGTAGTTAACATTCCCCTCCTTGTTGTAATAATCGGCCGCGTCCATCATTTCTCTCGTGATCTTATTCAAATTTAATATACTCTCGAAGAGTTCCACACCTCCCTCGGCGTACTCCGTCCCCAACATGGCTGCCTTTTTATTCGTCCAGCCCTGCAGCCAACAGTTGTAGTTATCAGTGATTACGGTGTACATAATGCCACCTACCAGTGCAGCCAAAGAGAGAAAAAATACATGCCCAGTCCAACCAACCAATCTGGCTCTGTAGAAGTTGTGCCTATAAATGGAGTACGTCATCAATCCAGAAGCACCCACAGCTACAGCGTTGACCAAGGGAGCATATGTACTGACGTTGAAGATTTCCCGTGCAATCAGAAACATCTTTGCCTTTTCCGAAAGGACAAGAGAGTTGGCCATCTCCAGGGAGAGAGGGTCTTCCCAATCTATCTGATAAATGTCGTGGGATGTTTTGCCTCGGAGTACCAGTGTTTCGCTCTTCACTACGTCATCGACACTCTTATACGCCATAAAGAATGGCAGACCTGGTGAAAGAAGAAAATTAATTTTTAAAATAAAAATAGTTTCAAGATTCATGTCAATTTTGTCTTCTTTCAGTGGACTGAGGGTATGCCATGTGCATACCAAAATGTTTCTGGGTCATATTTTTATGTCTAAACATCCTGCTAATTTTATTTTCTTTGCAATCCATGACTCCTTCAGAATTTATATAAATAAAAAAAAAAAAAAAAAAAAAAAAAATGGTCCAAAACATCATATGTAAGTTCAGGGATGAGTCCAGCAATAATTTGCATGCTGGAGTATTTTTTCCCTACATAAATAAGGTTGGCTTGAACATCAGATATAAAATATCTTTTGCTAAAAGAAAATAGGACAAATAGTACACAAATAAAGCCATATCGACCCTTTAAGACTGAAGACTCAGGCGTAACAGATTTTTCATTCCCTTGTGTATAAATGGCTAAAAAGAACTAGTAAATCATATCTATAGAAACTAAACTATGAGGCATAACGCTGAGACCTTCATATCTTGTTCAGTACACCAAAATAAACCCAGACTTGTAAATTGATTTTAACATAGTCGCTTGTGCACTTGACTATAGCTTTTTTCATGGCCTTATATGTGATCATATAATGCAAGGGTACATGTGCAATTTGAGTAATTAAGACCCCATTTCCATAGATTTTAGATCGATCTATCCCTGTGGGGAGTCTCACTAGATTACTGTCAGCTAAGCCGGCTGAAGCGTCTGTCCCACCTACTAAAAGCTTTAAGGGGATAATTAACTGTCGTGCGCGCTCGGCTGACTGCAATTTAGTGTGAACCCCCAGGGAGTTAGGTCGATCTAAATCTTAATCTCTGGATCGATCTAAATCTCTGGGAATACACCCTAAGATTTGCACTGCACAATAATGATTCACTTGCTTGTTCATATAGGCGTAGCGAAACAAAATGTCCAGGTTTAACTTCTTGTAATGAACACTCACATATGCTCCACACTGCACAACTCAAAATACCAAAAAAAAAAAAAAATAAATAAATAAATAAAATAAATAAAATAAAATAAATAAAAAAATAAAATATGGGGACTTAACATCTCTATTCGTACACAGCTTTTGCCTTCTGTTTTTATTTATAACGGCAAGTGCACCTCAAAAGACATTCCAGCATTCTTGGAACTTTTCAGATGGCAGAATACGTTTCCCCATGTGGTAGTGAGTGTTGATCTCCAAATACGTTTGGTGCAATTACTCAAGTAATAAACAAGTTTTCATAGATACCCACACTTTTCTACACACATGCGCAGTAAGATCTATACAGTTGTCGGTTCTGGTAAGTTATTTGAGTCCCTGAAGAAAATCCAGCTCACTAGCAGGATTATGAGAAACGGGTTGACAAAAATCCTTATACCTTCAGACTACTGCAATAATCAAATTGTGACCTAATTCGCCATTTATTTCGATAAATGGCGATATTGTGAACAGGGTATCTGTAAATCTGACTCAAACCATTGGAATATTGCATTGGGTTTTGTGCAGTAAAAGATATCATAACAATCTGTGAGTCAGTAGGCCCATGAACAAAGGGTTAAAATATCATTAAGCATGAAGTTTTGATCTGGCCTGTCAATCAAGCAATCAAAAAAACTAAAATGTCACGTCTCATAGTTTTAAAGAAAAACTCCTCAGAATTTTTTTTTATCAAGAGTAAAACAGTGTACAAACCTATGTAAGCACCACCACGACACCCGAGAGCGCCCATACACACTGGTCCCTTTGTGTCACTGTAGAAGAATTCCAACCCAGCTTCTTCATAGGGAACAAGATTCCTCCTTCTTAATACCTGGATGTTATAAAAAAAATGCACTATTAGCGGAACTGTGAACTCAGTGCATTTACTAAGATCTATACTGACAATTTTGAATCTAATGCCTGATCTTACTTTGAAATGGATCTTACTTATCACAAAACCTACAATTGAACTGATTTTGAGTTGTCAACACTGTCGCTTCGATATCAATGAATTTACCTTCAAGTTCGGTAAAACAACACAGTGAGAAATCAAATTTCCCATCAAGTAGAATTCTGAACTCTATAAATAAACACTCATTCTGCGTCGTTCCAGTTCAAACTTCTGTCACTTTCGTGCATTTTCTTAAAGCTACTTTTTCCCATTTTTGCAGCATTTCTGAACACATGACCCTTAGAGACCATTCCTATATATCTATTGTACTAACAAGATAGATCTATCTCCGAGGGGATCCTTGCTAAATTGCATTCAGCATAAACAGCGTAGATGTCTGGCCCGCGAGCTGAATGTAATATAGCAAGAAACCCCTCAATGCTGGATCGATCCTGCTAGAAAGATCTAGGTATGGGAATGGGGTTTTCAGCCTACCTGACTGATCAGAGCTTCAGTGGCTTCATCAATACCGACTGGTTTCCCACGAGAGTCCTTCTTCTCATAGTTGCTCCTCATTCTGTCCAAACCATAGACGTGCTTCAAGCCCTGGTACAGAGATGCTGCAGTTATGAATGACGGAACAACCATATTGACAAATTCCTCACTGAATTTCAATCCCTTCAGACGCTGCCAGATTCTTGACATGGTGCACAGTCTTGTGGATTTCTGAAATGGAGAGATATTGTTAACGATATGACAGTTGCTATGGATACTGCAAGTGAAAATATGTCACACAGCCTGATACAGGATACAGCAAAAGAAGCATAGACAATATCATAGCTTGTACATTCACCATGAAACTGGGGGTTCTCAATTTTCATTTTTACTTTGATAACCTCTCAACTCTCAAACTCTCACACACTCTTGTAAAGCCAACAGTTTTCTTGTCAAAAGAGCCAAGAATAAGGAGAGATTCATTTTGGTGTGGTGGGTGCGCAAACTGGTTTGGGCCGAGTAAGTCTAAAGCATCGCGTATTGCACATAGCGATATCACACAGAGGCTACAATGTATTATATTGGGCGAGTTATGGAATCAAGCTGCTTGCGCTTGGTTGCAGTGTAGGATGTTTTCGAATTATGGGGATTATTTTTTATTTTTTTTTGCCAGATCCAGTATGTGTGTGTGCACGCTTGTGTACATACCAAAAATTGTAAGTCCTCCATTAGTAATACATGGATTTCATGCTAAGCAGTTGTGATTGAGAGCCCCACCCTCCCATTATCTTTTTAAAACTATAAGCCAGCGAAATACAATACATCACACATACATGTAAGCCTTGGTTAAAAAACGTGAACATTTATCATTTTATTGCAGATTTTGGCGAATCTCAGAAACCTTCAGAACTGAATTAAAAAACGCGGAATTTCGCGTTCCGCGGGAAAAAAAAACTCATGTCTGATACATAAACTTTCTGCAGGCAGCTGTACCAGTTTGCCCTTCAAAACCCAGTTAGGTAATTTATTTCATAACTTTTAATTCCCTCATATCACAATGTGTGAAAAATCGAAGGTTTTGAACTATGTAGTATTCAAACAACGGTACCTTTGATAGTAAACGTTATATTTTTTCAGCTGACACAACTCTTGAATCCCACTTCCTCTCTTAAATATGGAAATTTCAAACCGACTTGGCGCTATTCCTGCTCTCCACACAATTAAAAGGGCGCAGACATTTTGTTTTTCAGAACGAGATTCTGACGTGACGTCATGCGATCAACAAGTGCGCAGGTGCAGAGTAAGAGAATTTTTACCGTTCACACACAACACACGATGGAGCGGGGGTCTTAAGATTTTAACATTAAAACTACGACTTTTAATTTATATCAATTACCTAGCATGCTTGGGGATTTACATTGGATTATTTTAGCGAGCTGACCAAGGGAAATCGCGAACCAAAATGTCTAGACTTATACGGTTTTTGAGCCGAAGACGAACGGGTCGCGGGATTCAGAAAGTTGGGGATGGAAAGCCAAGAAAGGGATGCATCAATTGCAAAATAATCCTACTGGATGGAACGGATATCAGCATAGACATAGACGTAAGTAGAGATCTGACCTCTTATATGTTATATTTCCGATCCCGCCACGACAGAATCGTTCGAAATCTCGACTTCAAAATAGGGTTATATGCATGACCTAGTTTGGCCCTCGTCAATTTCATTGCTCCTCTCAACTCGATCATTCCAAGACGGCAAATGCAGATTCAGCTGCGCAACTGGTGGTGGTTTATGGATTCTATGTACGAAAGAGACGGGGACACTTTTTTCTCCATTATGCCACAAATGCCCTTTAATTCCAGAAGCGTGTTAGCTAGTAGGAGGAATCAACGGCGTCGCCGTGCACCCCACCCCCATAAATTTAACTGTGTCCGCCTCCGACTGTCGGAACAAATCCCCACGTTATTGCTCTAGATATATTGAAATGAATGATTTTGTTTATCAGATTTGTCTCTTTGATTGCTGCTGGCAGTTTGCTTTACCAATTACCTTATTGCAGCCAGTTAACATATTAATTTGTTAGTGTTGATGGTTGCAGTGAAGGTTAAATTTGGGATTAATTGATTAAGATTGGGGGGGGGGGGGGGGGAGGAAGAAGGGATCCCCATATCTTTATTACTGCTCCCATTATACCATGCCTTGCTGTTACCCTTATTAATTAATGAATCTTATGCCATGTTAAAAGACATCTTAAGCCATGTTAAAGGACATACAGCAGTCTAAACTGGAAGTATATATATATCAGTGCTATCACAGCTGGTTTAGTATTAAAAACAATATATATATGACAATTTTGTGAAAGGTGGCAGGCTAGCATGGCCATGGGTAGTCAAACCAAAAGCAAACTATTAACCACCACACAAATTGCATCTGTGTAATCCAATAAAAATGACATATATGCAGCATGTCAATTTTATGGACAGCAAATAAATTTTAAATGGCAATCCATCAGAACATTTGTTTCTGCCTCGAAAACTCATGCTTAAGACAGCTGTTTTACTGGATAAGTAATACGTGTCATATCTATCCATACAAAACCATATATTATTGAGATACAGCTGGGACATTGGACAAGATATCCTGTCACATACATGATGTGTAATTCTTATGATTGGTCCATGATGCTGGTCTGTTTTATAGTACAAGTGCGTTTATAATGCAAGAACCACATTTGTCGAATTACAGTACTGCTCGTTTCAAATGCCAAGCTGTCTTTGCCATTGTGATTAAAATGAGCATTCAAAGCTGAACTGATTTTAGTTTGAGAATAAAGGGTATTTTGCTTATTAGCATGTGCATTATTATGCTTAATGTCTATTGAAATGTAGTTGTTTATTATTTGCATAGTGGTTATTAATGGTTGTTTAATTTCATTACATCAACACTACAGGTGGTATTGCTGAGTAAAAGTAAACGAGAGAGAGAGAGAGAGAGAGAGAGAGAGAGAGACAGTTGACAAAATTCACCAGCTTTATCTCCCCCCATCAGCTACAACTGTGAAGCAGTTATTAAATTTAACTAGCCTAAGGAGATACAGCTTCATTCAGATAGAACACAGTTGTGCTGCTTATAAATAATAATATTTATTAGTATTATTGCATCTTTACCTAGTACTGTAATACTGCAACATTCTTCAACAGGTATCTAATTATGATTCCCCCCTCTCCAAACACACCCTTCCTGGCTAATATTTCTATCAAAGGCTTACTTTTAAATTTGCACTGTATCCCAATTTTGAAATTGTGCCCCTTTTCATACATGTATCCTGATACATGGGTTATATGATGAAATAAAATTAGTGATTAATTCAGTTGTTTGTAATACAGAAGGTGATATTATGACTGGGATGGTCTGGTCCCATTCAATTACCTAAGTGCAGTAGAGTTAATGGTATTCAGACTAATACCCCGTTCACACTACGCTCAGTTATCCGGATAAATTGCGAATTAGGTCACAATTCGAATAAATGCAGTAGTGTGAACGCAAGAGGATTTTTGTAATGCGCATTTTCAAAATCCTGCAAGCGAGGTGGATTTCTAAGCGCGATCCGGATAACTTACCGGAATCGACACCTGTACAGACCTAACTGCGCATGTGTGCAGATAAGTGCGGGTATCTATGAACGCTTGTTTATTACTTTAGCGATTGCACCAAACGTATTTGGAGGTCACCATTCACTACAACTTGAGGAAACAAACTTATTTTGCCATCTTATGCTTCCCAAGAATGCTGGAATGTCTTTTTGAGATACATTTGCCGTCAGACTTTTTTGTTGGTATTTTGAGTTTTTCTGTGCGGCGCATGCGCGAGTGTTCAAAACAGGAAGTTAAACCTGAAATTTTCAACGTGGGATTCGGATTTGCTTCGCGAGTGTGAACGCAATGCCGAATTGGATTCCCCACGAAAAATCCGAATTACAGAAATGCGCATTTTTGCAACTGTAGTGTGAATGGGGTATTAGTTAATGGATGGACCAGAAGGTAATTGTTCAACTGGGATGGTGGGATTCACGTTGGTAGTTGAGGGGTCCTTGTCTCGGGCAATATTGGTGAATGTATGGATGAAGAAATATAGAATGAAAGACAGATCTAAATAATTGTTTTGGATGAATACATGTGTACAGAGTTTAATTTTTCACTTGTTTTACCTGTAGGCAGAGAGAGAGAGAGAGAGAGAGAGAGAGAGAGAGAGCATCACAGATAGATATTCTCACATGCACACACATTTTCACCAATGCACTTTTATGATCAGGCATATCTGCTTATTATTATTCTATGCCAATACAAATATGCGAAATATTAAAGCAAAAACAGCAGCACATGATATTTCAGTAGAAAAAGAAGTGATAATGTCTGTCTCCATACATGTTTTTATTCAAGGTAGGAGCCCCTGCATTGGAGATTTGAAGTCGGGCAGACTGGTTATTTCCTGATTATAGCATTATGATTCATGAGGAATGAGCAGCATCACAAAATAAATGCTACTAGGCTTGACTTGTGTTTATTTGAATAGCAATGAGTCAATTTTGATTCTAAATAAAGAAGTGATATAGGACTAATCGATGACATGTCTTGTTGTTGAGAGGGTTGCTCTTGGGGGGGGGGGGGGGCATTCAGTTTTGTTGGAACAAAAAATGATTTTGAGACTTGTGACTGAAGGAAAATGGTTTGTAAGGCCTCTCCTGGGATAAAATTTATTTTGGCACATAACTGAAAATCAGAAAAGAATGATTTTAAAAAGCAGAAATCTTTTGTGAGGGGTTACTATTTATTAAAAAGCAAAACAATTTAAAAATTGCAATATTATAATATATGTAAATTTGTTGTTGTGATCTTAAAATGTTGAGCGCAGGTGAACGCATAAGAATGGTATGTAGAATATAATTAAACTTTTTGGTTTATTTTCCCTTTGGGTGAAGTCTGCTATGTTCATTTTAATAGGTCATGATGACATCTAGAGCAATTAAAAGCTATATATATACTTTTTATCAGTTGTCATGTCTGAGTGAATCAACAAAGGAAATGAATATATATATAAAAGGCAAGACTTGAGCATATTATAGTTTAAATAAACTGCCATAAAATGACACAGAAGTCCAGTGTTAACTCACCTTTTAATTGGCAATATCTTGAAGGATTTTTTTTTATCATGGAGAGGTTGGATAATGCCATAAAATGTTGCTACTGAAAAGGTAATCTATGGTATCAGTTAACAATAAAACCAGGATATAGCTGCATGGCTGGAATGATGATGATGAGGCAGTGATATGTGGGCTTGCAAAAATGAGAAATGAAACCTCATAATGAGGTGTGTTGTTCTTTATCTTGTTTTATGGTTAAGATGTCTCATATTGGCCAGTATTTTATTTCTTCTCTCTCCATCTCTTTCCTCTGTCTCCATTCTTGATCTGCTACTTAATCTCTCTCTCTCTCTCTCTCTCTCTCTCTCTCATGTTCTATGATCACTGATATATATGCACAGGTTTACTCGCCTTGGTAGAATGTGTTTCGCACTCACAGCTCAATACTAGAGCCACCCATTGCAAAATGCATCTTAAACTACATGGCTGCATTTCCAGTGATTTTGTGTCATCTTGACTTGTACACATACCACCCAATTAAGACATGATAGTTTTTGGCAGAACAATCCAGTGGCAAAACCTAAACTGTGCCATCGTGTGAAACATCAGCAGATTTAATATTAGTACTCTTTTCATGGAAAGTAACTTTATTATGAAACAGCACATGGTCAGTTAAGCCGTCTCAACTCGGATGGAATTGCACCTTAGGAAAATACAGCCTGTGTGTGTTTGCACTGCCCATGTGAACACTCTATCCTGCTAATTAGATGGAACCCTGTACCTGGCCAAATGCCTCTGGGATGCTCTGCATTCCTGGCATACTGTCAATCAATACCTTACCATGGCCCAGACTTATCCTCATTCAGTTAATATTATAGATCATAATATTTTCTTCAAAACAGAAGGTGAGATTGGAGGTATTTGATTTTGTGTATTTTGATGTCTTTTGCAAATGAAACTTCACTTTTTCGGTGAATGTAAATATGTGCTAGTAAACAGTAATAGCCTAGACATCCTGGGGTAGTGCTAGCAATTTTTTTCGCTTAGCCAAATCATCACTTTTTTGTCAATTTGTTATCCAAATGGTGTTAATTTGACTAAAATGAGTCAAATCAAGCCCTTTATGTTTAGCCAATTTAAGTCAGTTTTAGCATTTGGCTAAATTGGCGAGTGTTAGCGCTGCCCGAGACATCATATGCTGAACCCAGTAGTGAACTCCACAGACTATTGTTTCTAGCTTAGTTGCGAAAAACTTCACCTGTGTCAGCATTTGATGCTCACACCATTAAATGAGATTTTGAAAGAATTGTAGGAGAAAGTTGTCAGAAGTAATGGGCAGTTAACAAGTGTGATGGGGCATTGTATCAAAACATTTAAATAGCAGATAGAAATTATCCGCAGGTAGTTTATACACATATATTCTAGATACATGTTTGCTCTTGCACAACAGAAGGAAATCGCC